GAAATTCTTCACCAAATTTAGAATGAAAAACAAAAAAAAAAAAAAAAAAAAAAAGCATTCTCAGAAAAATCTAAAAACAATATATGTTATGTAAAATAACAATACAAGTTACTTTTGCCTTGAAGTCATGTTCAAATTCATAGCAAATCATGAGTTAAAAATAAAAAACCGATTTTCTTATTTATTTTTTTTTACGAAAAAAAAAATGTTTACCCGAACATGTTCACGAGCTGTTCTCGCGAACGTGCGAACACGTTCGCAGTGCTATGCACGTTTTCTAAAGGTGTTGGAATAAATTTTTTGATCCGTGAAACAATGCCTCCTCGTGTGCAGCTGCATTGGGGGTTTCCCGCATCGCACTATGTGGCATGAACATGGAACCCTAACACTTTCTTGCGGTTGCGTCGACGTCGCTGAATTCCCCGTTGTTTCCAACTCCTTCGGAGTTTAGATCACCGTCCGCCACACGCACCTCCCTGGAAGGCTCTCCATTGCACCACGACATTTCGCGCGGTCGAGGGCGAGGGTTTTTGGATCCACGCGGACGTAGTAGAAGCGATGCTATACTGGCGAGACCAGCAACCTGGCAGCGTTTGGACGACAGGATGGCTGTCGTCCCGTTTTCTCCTGTTGCGAATTCGACAACCGTCACACATACTCCTTTCCCGAGTCACCTGCGCACTCATTGCGGCAATTCCTGCTCTCCCCACGTTCTTCGGAAATCCCATTTCGTCTTCTTTTGCGCAATCCGCTGTGGTTCCAATGCGCCCTCCGCTTTCATCTCCTCTCAAGTTTCTCGCTGCGGTGTTGCCGACGCCGCTCTCTGCAAGTGATTCCATCGACGGGGTTTCTCACCATCGTCCAGACCCCGCGAATGCGGTTGTCCGTGCCGCATCGGATGTGCCTCCGTCTTCAGTTCCTCGACCGCCGTTGTTCCACTACTCGCCCCCTGACATCACCGGTGGGGTTCCCAGTGCGGGTATCATTGCGTCGCCCCCCGTTTGTCGAGCAGAAGAGGTGCAACCGTTGGACGACACGTTGCGGCCAGCGTCTTGCACTCCTGTCTCGACGGACCATGCACCTGATGGGGCTTCGCCGTTTAATGATAGCGAAGCAGGGATGAGTTTCTCGCCTGCATCGGGCCATGTCAGGTCTAGTACACCTCACCCAGGCAAGCCTCATTGGGTGCGAGGTAAACTCGATCAACAACTGCACCCGAGTTCGATTGCAAGGGCGATGGGGAAGAAGTTGTTGTCCCTTGCTCATAGCTCGGGAGACAAGTTCGATTGCAAGGGCAATGGGGAAGAAGATTTCGTCCCTTGCTCGTAGCTCGGGAGACAAGAAAAAAAAACATTGCTCTTATAAGAACGTGTTTGACCAGCTCCTTGAGTGGAGTGCTGCCCACGTTGATGAGCTTATGTCGACGTACGGCCCGAGCGAGCAGTCGTCTGCCCATGGAGGTTCTTGCAGCCGGGGGTCGGCGTCAACCGTCACTCCGCGATCGCGAGGTGGTAGACCTCGGAGTAATGCTTTGAGGTGGCGCGATGGCAAGGACGGATTTGTGGATATTGATCCGAGGTTTGAGAGGTTGACGATGAGGGACCCCATGGCTATGTGGGATGCACCGGTAAGACCCGATGTCGTGTTTCTTAAACTGGTGAAACTTCTCCAGATTCTCGGCATGTTCGAGAAATCGTGTCCTCAGCATGGGAAAGAGGTGGAGGTGACGATCAAGAAGATACGTTATCCTTCTCACATTTGTAAGTTGCAATTCGAGTGTGGGAAAGGGTGCTCGTGGCACCTGAGTTCCGCGAAGGTTATTGCTGGTGGAGTGAGAGATTCGAGGGTGGAGACTCAATTGTTCCACTCCACTGTGGCTGTGGGGATGACGTACACTCAACTGAACAACCTCTTGCTGGGCCCGGGGATGAAAAAGGTTAGGAAAGAAACATTCCACAATTTTTTCCGTGATGAAGACAAAGGTTCGCGACTGTGGCTGCGGCATGTGGAACGAGGTACCCAAAAGAGCTTCGAAAGGCTAATCGCACGTCTGCGTAGATCTAACGATCCAATTGTCATTTTGGTCGATGGGCGTTACGATTCGTCTCGTGATGTGCAACATTGTACAGTGTCGACGTTGAATTTGAAGTCTGGGATGATCGTGGGTACAAAGACGATGGTGAGGGGGGGCGAGTCATCATGGCGGCTGGAAACACAGTGTGTGGATAAACTTCTTCATCGGTTGAAGGACGAAAACAACCTGATAATCGTCGACGTTATGCAGGACGATTGTGGTGCGATTGACGTCATCTTACAACGAATGAACATTGACTCGCAGATGTGTATGTGGCACAAAGCCAAGACTTTGGTGAAACGCTTGCGAGAGGCTGTGCATGCCGCGAAGACTGTCAAGCCATCTGTAGTAGGCGCTTGCGAACACGTGTGCGAGGTGATGTGTTTCACGAAGTGGGAGCTTGAAGTTTGGCTCGATACGAAAGGTGTGCGTGTGCTTGGGGTGGCTACGAAAAAGAAGGGCGAGCTCGTTGAAATAGTATGGGGTGTGCTCTTTCCCAATGAAGCAGGGAAGTCGTTGCCAGATGACGTCGTTGAGATCGACGCGTTGGAGGCCTTGCATTGTAGTGCGGCGGAGGAGGCGAAGGAATGGTTGTATAGCGCTTGCAGTATGTGTGAACGGGTGGGGGATGACGACGACGATGTGTTGGCCTCGCATGGGAAACGCCTGGCCAATCATTGGGCTGGGGATCATTCCCTCTGCGATAAGGAGTTGTCAAACCTTTGCAAGACGACCGACGGTTCGGACAGAGAGCCATTGTACGAGGCTGGGGGTCGGGTTCATGTGGCCATTGGTTGATGTTTGCAGCAATTCGCTTCCAACACGAAGATGGCATACTGCACACGAGTGAGGATGACTTTCAACAACGAGTGCTTCCACTCTGTGATCAACAAGTACTGCACGAAATGATTGAACTTCTCAAAGTCCTACGAGGCGCGAGTTTGTTGCACAGCGTTAGAATGAAACAAAAACAAACGAATCAGACCATCGTGCACTGTGTACCGCAAACCAACGAACGTCACCCACCGACGCTGCTCCGCACGACGTCACGTCAACCCCGCCCGGGATACATCGTGGCGGTTCGACATTACAACAAAAGTTTTCGGGAGTGCTCGGATCGGGGACCAGGCCCGTAACATGTTGCAGCAATTGGACGTCGACGACCCGGTTGTTGAGCATGCTGATGTAGAAGCTGATTTTGAACTCTCGGTTGCTGCTGAGAGCGTGGCCCAGGGTGACGAAGCCGAAGGTGGTGAAATTTTGTTAGAATCGGGGAGCGACGATGACTCAGATGACAAAATGTCATCCTCGGATTTCGAATGCGAGGGGGGCGCTCAGCGCCTCAACTTCGACGACGCTGTGCTCTCACAGGAGGTGTCCGTTGTGCGGGAGTGATAGCGCCATATGGTTGCGGAATGACATTGTCGTCGTGTGCAATTTGATATGTCACTTCGAAGTGTGTTCGATGTTTATTATGAACGACTACAAAAAAAAATTTTGGTTGCAATTTATTAAGTGCGATTCGAAAATGTTGAAATTTCACGATGTTGTGTGAGTTGCTTTTCGTTTCGTTACATATATGCAATCCGTAAAATATGTTGAAATGCATGGCTGCATCAATCACCCGTATGTGTGCTGCTCTTCGTGTTTATGTGTATATTTTTATTCTATTTGACATATATGTATATAATATACTAGCTTAGCGTCCGAGGTGTGGGCAATGCCCGCACGTAAAAGAGCAGAGAGGCTAGTCAATCATGAACATTGTGTCAAGATCTTGACTCACCACCCACAAAACCCGCACCTGGCCGCTAAGAAGTGCGCATGAATGTTTTGATTTTCATATATGTTAAGGAATATATGTATTCTGTTCTTAATTCAAGTAGGGGGGGGGGGGGGCTCTGCACCCCCCCCGCCCCGCACCCCCCGCCCCGCACCCCCTCCCCCCACTTCGGGTTTGGTTCCACATCATGCTGCACCACATGCAAAACCCCATGTGTGTGTGTGCGTATGTGTGTGCGCGTATGTGTGTGTATGTGTGTGTGCATGTGCATGTCACGTGTGTGTGTGTGTATGTGTGTGTGTGCCCCTGTGTGTGTGTGTGCGTGTCATATGTGTGTGTGTGTGTCTGTGTTTGTCTATCTCTGTGTTTGTGTGTATGTGTGTGTGTGTGTGCGTATGTGTGTGTGTGTGTGTGTGTGCGTATGTGTGTGTGTGTGTGTGTGCGTATGTGTGCGTGAATCTATGTGTGTGTGCGTGTGTGCGTGTGTATGGGTGTGTGTGCTGTTATATTCACTATCCACAAAAAAAAGTATGACTGTGCTAGACTGAAGGGGAGCGGGGCGCGATGTGTGTTTGTGTGC